ACAGACTATAACCCTTTCCTGTGACCAAACTCATTTCTGTCCCCTCGCAGAACACCCCGGAGCATCCCCCAGTGCGTGCCAGGGAGATGTGACATTCCTGAAACTGGGCAGAAGACTTTTTCTGACGTGTCTGCCCCGTAAAGAGGAACGACACGCTCTTCAGTGGCTGGGAGCTCATCTGCTGTGGCAGCAAGGCCCCAGCAAGCCGTGCCGAGTGTTTCTTTTTACCTTTCAGGTTATTTCCAGGCGGTAAAAAAGAGCTTGTTTAAGAAAAACAGGGGAAAAAGCTTTCCTGCCTATAGCAAGAAAATAAACGAGAGCTCAGGAGAGGCTTCAAAATCCCTTCGATCCGGGAAGAAACTCACTCTTGCAGTGACCTGTCCAGGTCCTCAGCAGTGGCCGTGCCCAGGTCGGAGTCGCAGGAGAGCGGCTCCTCGCTCTGCTCGGGACTGCGGGCGCAGTGGGCCGGGAGGACGCTGTCGGAGCCCAGGCTGGAGGAGAGCTGGGACGAGCTCGTGGTGTTAAGGCTCAGTGAGGACGACGTGAGTTTGGTTTTGCTGCTGGCTTTGCTGATGGGGAGGACGGGGGGTTGAATCTCGATCTCGTCCGACCCCGATGACTGGGAGATCGAACCCAGCGATGCTTTTCTGTGGGGCTCAGATGTCGAGGACGCGAGGGGCTCCTCCAGCAGCTCCGAAACAGGACACAGACCAGACAGGGAGAGAGGGGTGATGGTCCACTCGTTCAACACAGCTGATTTATAGGAGAGCTCGAAGGTTAAGGACGTTAAGCCCTGCAAGTAGCTAAGGAGAAACTCACACTCCTCAGCATCTAAGAGCAGCGCGGTCGCTTGGTAGTACTCGGGCAGCCGGGACCTGTCCCGCAGCAGCAGCTTCAAGTAACACTCCACAAGGCCATCGTTCAAAGCCAGCCTCAGCCAGGCTCGGCAGCGGCCGACATCCGTATTGATAAAGATGAGTTGTTCCAGCTCCGAGACAGTATTTCTAGGGAAAGGGAGAAAAAAACCTGAATAGGACATGAGTGGCCCCGTTTTAGGTCCATCACGGGGTGCAAGATCCTTCATCAGAAACTGCCCAACCTCCTCTGCTGTGGGGAGTTCTGGAGTTGGGTCAGAAAAGGCTGCGGAAAATCTCTTTCCTACCATGGAGAAAAAAGAGCTGCTGAATGCCCCAAAGCTAAATATACTGGTAACATCCAGAGGCATCTCCCACAAATCACCTGCCCCGGAGCAAGGATGCAGAGGGGGAAATTCCCGCTGTCCCTGCACGCTGGGGCTTGCTCTGGCTGGATACTCCCTTGGTGAAAAGAGCATGTCTAAATCCTAGCTTCAAATTTGAAATCAGCCAAAACACAGTGAAAACTGCTGCGGCAACCCAAAAAAAGCAACCGGGTCAGGTTGAGCTCCGCAAGCAGTCTCAGCCTCCTGACTTCAACCATTCTCCCCCCAAATCCAACAGCGACACCATGCTCCCTAATCCTCCCTGGCTCCAGCTACCGCGACACCACAGACACTGCAAAACACAGAGCAGAAGTTCTGTAAGTTGTTTTCTTTTAATCTGTCTCTCAAGAAAGAAGAAAAAACCTTCAAAGGGCACAAAAATATCCCCCGCAGCATGTGAAAGAGTTATTTTCATCCTCTCTTTCATAATTTAAGAGTCAGTGATGGAGCTGGATGAGGCTTTCACAACTATTTGTGTGTGGGCTGTTATTTAATGTGGGAGGACTCGGCTTAGAGAGTGGTTCAGAAAAAACCCAGCGAGGAACAAGACCTCCCGAAAGCTCACACATCAGGTCAGCGATGTTCGTCCTGGTCGGAAACATCCCCAGGTCAGAAGACAGACCATACTCCTGCGTCACCACTGGGATCATCAGGGTCTGACTGGGGTCACGGAGTCCCCACACACAGCCTGGCACCCAAAACCAAATAAGAAAGGGGTGTGCCCTACGCTGGCAGCAGCGTTTTATTCCCTAACTTTCTGGGGCTGTGGGCACACGCCTAACCAGCACCTCACCCCTTGCACCCGCTGAGAGGGGCTGTGCTGGCAGCACTGGGTGTGCAGCCCTGCATCGCTTGGCAACGCAGGGGTTTGGTCTCCCACCTCCATCTCCCAGCATCCCGGGCAGCCCCTCCGAGACACCCTGCGAGAGCATCACTCCCTCCGACTGCGGGACTAAGCACACAGTATGGTGCGGAGACGTATCTTTCCGTATCTTCCTCTTCACCATTCCCTGAACTGTGTGGCTTTTGCACCAGAGAGGATGAACCAGAGCGTGCGAACACCTTTCGGCAGGGATGGGCACTCACCGATGGGTAATGCTCTTCAGCAGACCCCAGAAGACCGGCTGGGGAAGTGGTCCCCGACCTCCTGCTTTCTTTCCTTTCCCCCCACTCTCCGTCTTTATATGCTTTGCCCTCAGCCCGTGCACAAAGACGGCTTCCAGGGCGCTGCAGAGGGTGTTTGCGTTCCCATCGTCGCTGGTCACGACAGCATCCGAGGTGACGTACTGTTTCTGCAAGGCCTTGATGGCATTCACCAGTTGCTTCTTGATCAGCTGCAAGACAGGAGGTACACGCTTGCATTATAGAAAAATAAGTATTAGGGAAGATTTTATATAAAAGGGCTCAAAAACTGTAAGGCTCATGCAGAGTGAAGCACGGCACGACTCCCGCTTCATCCACGTGCTCCACGGCGGCTGCGAGGGAGTAATTTATGCAATTTTAGCTGGCATTCCAGGGCCCACTGGGTTGCTGGGGTTGCCTTTACAGCGCATGGAGCTTCCTCCACAGATACGAAACTGCTTCTTGAGCAGGGGAAAAAAAGGACGGGGGAAAAAAAAGAAGTCAGTTCTGTCCCAGGGCTTGCTGGGGGGAAGTACAGGGATTAAATAAGCATGGGGATAAACAAGAAGCTCCAAGGAGGCAACTCGTGACGAGGGCTGCGATACCGCTCGAACTCGTGGCGATCTGCCCAAGCGGCACGTGACGCGCTGGCCAGCCCTGCCAGCAGAAATCAAAGCCATCGACCTCGCTCTCGGCAGCTTGGCTGTGTCGATTAACCCACGGGCGCTGCCGGGGACTGGACCTGCCCCCCCTCCCCGAAAAGATGCTTTTGGAAGGACAGCTGGGGTTTAGCTGCTGCCTTCGGAGAGACTCTGTGGGCTTTGAAGCAGGAACATGGGAATTTTACCTTCCAGCAGCTTTTGCTTCCCTCTTTCTCACACCAGTTGAGAGGAAGAAAGCTCAGCGACTTTAACAATTTTACGCTGGTGGAGGGGAATTTTTTTCTCATGCAGAGGAGCCCAGATGTCTCAATCAACCTCATTTCAAATGAAGGCTGCACTTCCCAGCAGGCATTTGGCAAACACTGCAGATCCAGCCGGGACCCCATCAAACAATTCACGTTTCATCACGCAGCATTCGAGGCGAACGCTGAACGGCACCAGCCACTGCGACAAGGGCAGGGTGGATTTTGACTTGAGCCTGGGTCTGCTGCACAAACCCGTATTACCTTTCCAGCCCAGGATATTTTTTTGCAGCATCCAAATAAGAATTCCAGCAGCTGCGGTTGGAGGACAACAGCCAGGGGATCACGCACCTTGTCCCTGCCCGTACCAGGGGACACTCCTTGCAGCAGGAGCTGCTTTCCAGCTGCCCGTGGATCTGCCAGCACAACCCTCCAGCAAGCAGCAACCGTGGGCTAACAGGATTAACGAGTGCAAATGATTTTATCTGTCATGCATGAATTAATTCTGCTGCAGAGCAAATTAAACACCCGGTCTGAACCTCTGGCTTTCAATGCTGCTCACTGAACGTGTTTAGACTCCCCAAGCTGCATAAAGAAACCCCCAGTGGTCCTTCACCCAGGTGTTGGGGCTGAGCACCTTCCCCTGCCCCATGCTGGGTCTTGCCACGAGGGGCCAAGCTGATGTGGTTTAGCTCACTGTCACCCTATTTGCTTTAACCCCCCCCACCAGCCAAACCATCAAGGATCCTCTGTCAGAAAGCCCGAGTCACCCCTCGCCTGTATAAACCATCCCAATCCCAACAAGTCCCACCACGTCCTGCTGGTAACTGGAGTTGCACTGGGGAGTAACGGGAGCTACGTGGGGAGGTTCAGGGTGTCTCGCTCCCCTGTACGGCTTCCTTGGGGCCATCGGCGGGGCTCGAATGCATCTCAGCGGCTGCCGCTCCCTCAGCCGGGCGCTGCCTTCACATGTCACCTTTGGGACAAGGAGGAGGAGCACGTGTGAGCACCCATTCGGTTTACAACTCACTCACTTGCCACGCGAAGGGCCCACGGCGTCCCACAAGAGGCACGGATCGCACACCGAGGCGTTCTGCAAGCGCTCACGGCCAGGGTGCTGCCGGGTCCGACCCACGACCGCACCGAAACAGGCCACGCGGCCCGGGGACCAAGAGAGTTTCAGGCAAAACAGAACATGGCCAAGAGACCGAGTAATTAACCCTTGCAAGAAGGAGAAATTAACCCTTGCAAGCTGCCTGCAGGCGAGACGCCAGGCCGGTCAAGCCAGCAGCGATGTGCGCAGGGGCTGCTTCCCTTCTGTTCCTACAGCCCCCGCAACCCCCAGGCACCAGCAAGGGCATCACAAGGCATTTAGCGAGCGAGGCTGAACAACGGCACCCAAATCCCACGTGAATGCCACTAAGGGGGCCCAGACAGAGGGCTGTGCCCCCCAGCCCACCCTGGGCAGAGGTGGCAGTGGAGGAGCGATGCTGCTGCCGAACCCAGCGGGGACGGACCCCTCAGAGGTGCCCGGGCACTTGGCCCGGTGGCACAGAGCTGGCTGGGAAGATGGGAAGGAAGGATGCAGGTTCTCTGTGGGGTTTACAGTCGCTCTGTTCCGGCTGGGCCGCCCAGGATCTCCCCGCTGTGGGGGGCTGCAGACGGCAGGGCGGCTCTGCTGCAGCTGGCTTTGGTGGGAGAGGGAGAAAGATCAGTGTCCTCCTGCTACGGAAAACCCTGGCAGCGCCAGAGCAGGCAGCGGCAGCCTCGCTGGCCATCTACAACTGCAGGGCGTTTGCAGACAAGGGACCTTTGACTTCTGACTTTCAGCCTGCTGTTCTGTTCTGGGGAGCTAAAACCGGGCTGTGCCTGGAGGCTCTGTGAGCAAAGTGCGTGGCTGCCAGCGAGACGCCGCCGCACAGCTGCCCCCCTGCTCACACACAGCACGTCCTGCAACTGCAGAGGGTCTGAGAGCTGCTCCAGCACCAGCTACTGCCGTAAAGCTTTCTGCGTATGGGAGAGGTTGGAGAAGAAATTCGTTCCCTTGAGTTGGAAGCACTTGCCATCCAGGTGGGGGAGGAGGGAGCCCAGCAGCTGACAGCAGGGTTTGGCCATGCCCACGGCAGACAGCAGGCTTGGTATGGCATCGACACTTCAGATTTCGTTTCCCAGCCAACACGGACACCCCGCAGCTTTACTGCAAGCAGAGCTGAGGGCCTCAACCGGTCGCTCGCCCTGCTCTGTGCGCCGTTGGGCCAGGGCAGAAGCACGGCCTGCAGACCGGCTCTTCCATGGCCGCAGCCACTCCTAAAGACAGCGGTGGCCCAAGTCCGGAGCAGCCTAAACCTGGAGCAGCCCAAATCCTGAGCACCCCTGACCCAGAGCAGACCGAATCCTGAACATCCCAGACCTGGAGCATCCCATGCATGTACCACACCAACTGGTCCTGCTCAAAGCAGATCAAGAGCTCTTTGGGAACAAAGACCGGAGCCATCCTCAGCGTTCCCAGAGTTCACAGACAATTGCACAGAAAAGGAAACTGGTTTTTGCCACGACTCGCTGTATAATTTCCTCTCTTTGGGTTGCAACACAGAAATGGGGGAGCACAGTGATTACAGAGACGTTAACCTCTGGCTCAGAGGCTCGAGGCGCTGCTGGGGGTTTATGGGAGGAGCAAAGGGACACCTAAGTGACAGCAGCAGTTGCTGAGGACCAGAGAGAGCTGTCCCCATCTCTGCCCTCTGCATGGGAGGTTCAGCCACCATCAAACCCCTCAGGGCCAAGCAGCCTCTGCCCCATTCCCTGTCACCTCCTGCATGCACCCTGTGAACAAGTGACCCACCCAAGACAAATTCAAGGTGCAGAGCTGGGGGTGGAGAGCCACGGGTGGGAGAAGCAAGCCATGGGCACAGGGTGGCATTTCTCAGGCCCAGAGAGGCAGCGTGGGTGTTTCAGTCCAGGACTGCACCCGCCATCTGTGCTCTCAGCATTGGCCATCCCGGCATCCCCGGCCTGTCGCAGGGGAGGGGTGACAGCAGTGTTTGGCAAAAACCTCATCTGGATTTTACTAAGTCAGTGGTATTCCCCCAAAACACAGGCTCCTTTGCTGGCATCACCTTTCCCAGCGTCTGCAGGAGGCGAATCACCGAGGACACCCGCTGCCTTCAGCACAGGACTCTCCACTCCCACCACAACCAGTCCAACCAGTTTGTTCCAGTGCTGTGAATCCAAAGGGAGACGCTTCTGTTGGGACAGCATTTTCCTGAATAACGAGTGCAACGAACCAGCTCCGAGGCGGATTTCACCCAACACAAGCCTGGTGAAACCAGGGGAAATGGGACTGGCAGCCCTGGCGCCGGGCTAGCCGGCTCTAGAAGGAATCAGAAGGCACTGGAACACTTTGAGGCAGATCCTGGAAAGCCACGGCTGTTCCTTGTGATCTTGAAAGGACAAGAGATGGGACGGATGTGCAAGCGCAGGGACAAGCACATCTAGAGCCGAAAACCCCCCATGTCGTTTCCCAGCAGTCACCACCCCGGCAGCGACGCGGACAGAACACAACAGCTCGAGGAAACCAAGGAAAATAGAACAAGTGAGAAATAAAAGCAGCCAGCAAGCTGGGCGCTTACACCTACCGCGGAAGAGTCGCCGGTGCGAGAGCAGAGCTGCACCACACTGGTGCAAACCAGCCAGATGCTTTGGAAACGGCTTGTTCGAGTCAAGCCTTACTGCCAGCAGAGGCAGAGACCCTGTCCCAGGGCTCAGCTCTTCGGTCTCCCAACAAGCGACACTCTCCGAGTTATAAATAAACGGCAGGTCACCGCTCGTGCTTCGCGAACGGAAAACAACAGCCCGCGACGATGGCGTGAACCGGTGACTCAAGGCCTGTACGCGGAGCCAGTCATTTTCCAAGCACGAGTGCTACACCAGTCACCTTCCTCCGGGGAAAATGAGGGCTTTGATGGCACCGTAGGTCCAAGGGCTGGTGTCGGGACAGCCCTCTCCTCCCACACAGCTTCTGCCTTCCACCCAGAGACCGTGCACACCCAGCCACGCTTAAATTACAAGCTGACCCCAAGCAGAGGCAGCCTGGGAGCAGGCAAGCCAGCTGGCACGGCCAGGGGCTTGGATTGCTGCAGGATAAAGCCCCTCGGAAATGATTTGGCAAGGGTTAGGGCAGGGTTGGAGCCCAGCGCCAGCTCAGAGCAGCAGCAGGACCCTCACGGTCCCACTTCAGATCCTCCTGTGTGCCCAGCCCGGTGCTACGCAGCACGGCTGCCATTCCCACCGCAGGAACTCAGGCATCGCGTAAGGGACAGGGACCAACAC